CTTTTTTCCCCCGTGTTCTGTGTTTTGGGAAAAGGCTATAAAAAATGCTAATTTTTGACATTTTTTGGGCTCGAATATTTCTATGAAGCTCGAACGGACAATTAACTTTTATTAGTGGTCTCAAATCGTCAAACTGTCCTCTATCCAACACCGAAACTCGCAGTTCTGTAGCTTGTTCCTAGAGCGAGTGGCAAATGCATCTTTGGGACCTACTTTCGAATTTTTCCTAATTTTGTGCCCCCCTTTGGCAAAACTACGGGATTGCCAAGACCTGTCCTATAGTAGAACATCATCAGCATATTTAGGTCTATCATTTCTGAAAATTTCGTCTTTGGCCAATGTGTTTTACACAAAATGGATTTTGACGGTTTTTGTATGGGGTTTCTAGCAGGCTTCTCTTCAGAAAACCGTCAAAATTGATTTTGTGTAAAACACATTGGCCAAAGACGAAATTTTCAGAAATGATAGACCTAAATATGCTGATGATATTCTACTATAGGACAGATCTTGGCAATCCCGTAGTTTTGCCAAAGGGGGGCACAAAATTAGGAAAAATTCGAAAGTAGGTCCCAAAGATGCATTTGCCACTCGCTCTAGGGACAAGCTACAGAACTGCGAGTTTCGGCGATGGATAGAGGACAGTTTGACGATTTGAAACCACTAATAAAAGTTAAAAGTCCGTTCGAGCTTCATAGAAATATTTGAGCCCAAAAAATGTCAAAAATTAGCATTTTCTTTAGCCTTTTCCCAAAAACGGAACTCGGAGGAAAAAAACGTCCGCTACAAAAAATGACCACCTCAACAAGTTGTATATATGGTGAAATTTTCAGACTTCTATCATTTACAATAGAGAAACTAGATAAGGTCCTGTTTTGCTGGGAGACCCCAAATTGGTCTTCCTCTTCGGACCCCTTCGCAAGATTTTAAAAATTTTTTGAACTCACAGCTATGCTTAAAGGTACAAGTTCTACAAACTCTGAAAGTTTTATTCGATTCGCATTAAGTTGATGTAATTGTGGTACACTCTCGAAAGAATAACCCATTTGTTCTCCGTTGACACCGAAATGCATATTGTGCTTCAGCTCGACAATAATTACTTTTACGATAATGTTCACTCATACAAATAATAATTGTATGTGATTGTTCAATAGCTTGTGCCATTGCATCCATAACATTTCCATGCATTTGATCAAAATCTATCCATACATGATAACCAGATTTAATTAATTCATTATATATTTGTCTACAGAGAACTTTTTCTTTATGTGAATAACTAATCATAATATCAAAT